ATCGCCTTTGGAGGCGTTTCCAGTGGCACTGAGGGGGACATGGGGGGGCTGCGATTGTCCCTGTGGGGGCTGCGACTCCCTTAGGGGGTGTGGGGCTTCATAACTTTTTTGCGGGTTCCCCAGGCCCCTTGCAGGGGGGTGCAGGGCTGGCTGAGATTTGCCTTGTAAGTGTCCCCAGTCTCCCTGTGGGGGCTCTGATCCCGTCTGTGGGGTATGGTCCTTCTAGGCAGCATCTTGGCCTCACTTGCTGGGAGCCCAAGGAGCCCTGACTTTCTTTAGGGGAGCATTGGAGAGGGTCCTTATTATCTTTTGGGGGTCCCTAGTCGCTCTTGTATGGACTATGGTCCTCCTCTTGGGGGTAGATTGATGGGTCCTGGAGGGTTCCTGATTGCTAGGGATCGGGTAATCCTACTGAGATCCCCAGTTCCCTGTGGGAGAAGTCCTCATCCACTTTGGAGAAAGTGTGTTGGCCCTGACCTATCTTGGGGACATTAAATCCCCAGAGTGGACTGAATGGCTGTTCAAGTCAGGGGGAGAGGGAGCACAGGGTGGCCCCAGACCCCCTGGAGAGGTGATTCCCTTATACACACCTGAGAGGTCAGTGAGGTTAATAATTAGGTGGCTTCCATCTGCTTAGAGAAGAGTTGAGGGTAGCCATGATTTCCCTTCGTGGGTGTGGTGACATGTCCAAGGGGGTACATGTCTGGAGCGCTGTGAGGTCTGTTTTCACAGAATGGTTTGGGTTGTAAGGGACCTTTAAAGTTCATCTAGTCCAACTGCCCTGCAACAAGCAGGGACATCTTCAGATAGATGAGGTTGCTCAGAGCCCCATCCAGCCTGACCTTGAGTGTTTCCAGGGATGGGGCATCTACAGTCTCTCTGGCCAACCTGTTCCAGTGTCTCACCACCCTCATCATAAAAAATTTCTTCCTTGTATCAAGTCTGAATCTACTCTCTTTTAGTTTAAAATCGTTACCCCTTGTCCTATCGCAGCAGGCCCTACTAAAATGTTTGTCCCCATCTTTCTTGTAAACCCCCTTTAAATACTATAAGGTCATCTCCACAGAGCCTTCTCTTCTCCAGGCAGAACAACCCCATCTCTCTCAGCCCTTCCTCCTAGGAGAGTTCCTCCAGCCCTCTGACCACCTTTGTGGCCCTCTGGCCTCACTCCAGCAGGTCCATGTCTTTCTTGTGCTGATGACTGCTTCCTTCAGATTTTGACTCAGTTTCTTCCCTTCTTCTCCTGTTATGAAGAGATGCTTTTTCTCTGAAGTTTCCTCCTCTTTTTTTCTCTTGTCTGTTCACTTGGACCCAGATGCCTGTGGGATATGAGTGTCCTCTTCCTGATTTCCACCAGAGTTGTGTTCCAAAAGTACCTCCCCTTGGTCTAACTGTGCCTTCAGTTTTCCATTCTCCATGAATAACCTCTTTAATGTGCCTTAGAAAAGAGAAGTAAAGCATCCTGTGGATGTTTAATTGTATAATTCATCAGCTGTTTCTGTCCCCCTCTTGCTTTGACCTGAGAAGCAGAAATCCTCTCTCTTCCCAGTGACTACAAGCAAAAAAACTTCCCTGCTTTACAACCAGATCTTTTTGTAAGGGAATGCCAGGCTCCCATGGAATTAATTTTTTTTTAGATTTAATCATATTGTGATGAAAAAACATTATATTAGTCAAAAAAAAAAAAAAAAAGAGGATACAGGCAAATGTCTGTCTTATGTCTGGGTGCTTTTGAGGAAGCTCTGATAACTTCATCTCTGTGCCGGAGGTGGCCAGACCATCACAGTCCATTGCTTGATCTCTCCCAGGACACCAGTCCCTCCTTACACACATTTGGTGTCGGTTTTGATCAGGTAGGGAGCCAGCAAGTATTTCCAGTGCTCTCGCACAAGCATCTGGGTGGTTCTATGTCTGTCCCATTCCACAAGGGATGAAGAGGACTGCTGAAATGTCCTGTCTCATAACCCCTTTCACACTTTGTCTGGAGGCTCTTGGCCTCGGGAAGAGTTTTGTTTCTGTCTTGCCCGATCAGGAGAAACAACCACCCTGTGTAGGCTATGGCTGAGTTAAGGTGTTTTCTGTGGAGCTTCCAAGAGATTTCACTTATAAAATGTTATTTTTAATACTCTTCAGCTGTGTGACTGTTGCTAATTGACACAAGGACAGACAAAGTATTTATTTTTATTTTATAGAATGGCTTCAAATGTCATTGCATGTCTGAGTCCCACCAGAGGCAATTGCTGCTGGCTTCTGAAAATCCTCAGCAATTCATGGATTACTTTTCTGAGTAAGTTTGCTGTATGTTCTTACCCAGATGTTCATTCCTGTATCAGCACAGCCGTACCTCTAAGGCTGAGGCATGTCCCACTGAAGACACTTTACTCGAATACATTATATGTCAGCTCTTTTTTTAATGGCAATTTGAAAATGTAGGCAATGTCACTTTTTAATGCATGTAAGAGGTTTCAGAGAGCCATGCTATTTAATTAAATTTGACAGTTTTATCCTGTGTCTGAGTTCCACTTTAGGTTGTTCTGTGTTACAAAGTACGTCTGTTCTGCCCCCACTAAGGGACTGCCTCACAGGCAGGGTTACAAAGAGATAAAAGAACCATTACAGAGAGATAACAAGTCGGGGGTGTGACTAACGTCCCACAGCTTCCCCCGTCCTTTGTCCAACTGACCTACATGACAGCTGGGTTGACTGGAGCTGTCTTCAGGACAAGCCTGAAGCGAGGCTTTATACTCAAGCCCTTGAATTAGCAGTGAGATGAGTGATCAATCCACCCCGTCTACCACTGCCACCCTTTGTCCTGCCGCGTGTTTTGTGTCAGTCAACTTGGGAAGATACCTGGTAATGAAATACCGGCAATTAGTGGGAAGTGTTTAGATTTTGTTCTTTCAATTTTGTCTCTTTGAAAGGGTATCCTTCTTTTGATGATTTAACTTGTATGTGCAGGTACCGTGTCGTATTTCATTGTGTGTACATACTGTATTTAATGCTGCTTTACTAAAAAGGGAAATGAGTGTCTGATTTTCATTATGCTCAGTTCAAAAGAAAACTAATTTTTATACTGCAGATATTTCATTGTTAATGACAATAGGAAAATGTTTTGTAACCATTATGGTTTTACTAAAATACTTTCTTTTTTTCCCTTGAGGGAGTTCCGAAATGATTTCCTAGAACTGCTGAGGAGGCGATTTGGTAAACATTTTATTGTTTGTTTGTTTTTAATGTCTTTTATTAATTCAGTGCAAGAAGTTTTGGTTGTTTTCTCCTAGGCCCTGTATTTATATTTAATTAAAATAATTCTGTGTTTCAGGGACAAAGAGAGTCCACAATAATATTGTGTACAATGAATATATCAGTCATCGAGAACACATCCACATGAATGCCACACAGTGGGAGACACTGACTGATTTTACTAAATGGCTGGGGAGAGAAGGTAAACGTAGTTGCTCAGGGTTGGGAAGTTTTAAAAATATTGGGTAATTGCATTGCTGGTAAGTGATCTGTAAACATTTACATTAGTTCTCCTGTTTCCTTTTTCTTTCTTCCCCTCCCCTCCTGTATATATATTAACAGATGTCCAAACATATTTCTGTGCTAAGTGTTAGGAATTTGCTTATGAAAAATGTCAGAAGTCTGGGAAAAACGCATCAATCATGAACCTTTCTTTGTTTCATCTGTTGGTCCATATTTACTGGAGGTATTGCTAAATTCTAAATCAACTTCCAACAGTTGCCATTTAAAAATTAAAAACTACAATAGAACATTTCTTGTGACTACAGAATCCTTCCATATTTAAGGCATCAAGAAGCGAGCGGTCATTTTAATTCCTGACCTAGTGAAAGGGTTAAACCTTGAGAACTGTAGTTTTGTGGGAGGAAGAGAGATGAAATGGCACTGTGATATGACAGAAAGTTTACTTTGGCTCTCATTGCCTGTGTTCTACAGGGTACATTATGAGTCAGATAGTGTTTGAAAAGTCACTCTAGTGAGAGTTAGTAACAATAACGTAGCGTACTAAAGTTTCCTTTAGTATGCTGCTATTAGTGTGTACTGTTTGTATATGTTAGATTTCTGTTTTCTTCCTTGTTAAAACAGTGGGAAGGAAACATTTTCTTCAATAAGGAAAGTATTATAAAACACTCTGTCCGCTTTATTCCATGCTGTGGCCTATTTCCAAATAGAACCGATTAGCTAAAGGACAGAAACAGATACTAGGGCTAGTATTGACTAAAGTCGATTTTACCAGGCCAATAAGGGGTACGTTGTCTCTGGTAAAGTATCTGCATTGTTATACTGAACATAGACTGTGAAAATTATCTTGATATTTTATTTGTCCCTTGCTTTCTTTTGTGAGTATTAATCTTTATCTTACATTGACTTTTCAGGTCTTTGCAAGGTCGATGAGACTCCAAAAGGCTGGTACATTCAATATATTGATAGGGACCCAGAGACTATTCGCAGGCAACAAGAACAAGAGAGGAAGAAGAAACAAGATCTTGATGATGAAGAAAAAACTGCTAAATTCATTGAACAACAAGTTAGAAGAGGTTTGGAGGGGAAAGAACTGGTGAGGAAAATTACACTGTATGTCAACTTTCAAAACTCCTCTTGGTTAAGTTAATGGTGAATCGATGCTGCGGGGATCCTTGCAGTGGTATTTCCTTTGCGGTTAGTTAGAAGGTGATGAGTAAGCTTCATGTTTCAGGTTACAAGCTCATCAGAAGTTCAAACTGAGGAACAGTGGGCATATTTGGCTGCATTGCTGTTCTTTTCTAAGCCACAAGGAATAGTCTTCTCCCAGAAAATTCTGATAGCAGCCTTAAATAAATTGTTTCTATTGAAATTACAGCTTGTTACATTTCCTTGACTAAACAATGTGCTGATGGTTCTTAAAATTGATGAATATCGAGATCCCCGGTTTCAAAACCAAAATAAATAAAAGCAAACAGAGGTTTCATATCCTTTTAGATTTCTTGTGATTTTGAAATCTAGCAGAATTGTGCCCTGTGGCCCCAGTGTCTGATCCTGGCCATTTCAGACTTTGATTTAGACTGTCTTCTTTCATACTTGAATCACCACATCAGTTCAGTTATGTTGTGAATTTTCTGCTATATGTTTGTCTTAGATCATAACCTGCTCTGGAGGAAAACTTGGAGTTACTTTGTACCTGGTTTGCTTTAGTACTAAAGGAATAACAATTACTGCTCTTCAAGTGATTAGAGATTTAAAAATCACTCTTGAATTTAGGAAGGGAGAGTAAACAACACAATAAACGTAATGAGCTGTCTCCTTTTATGGTATTTCACAACTTTTAGGGCTGCAAATAACAAGTACCTTGTACAGTGGGGAGGCTGAGATAACGAGGGGGAGCTGACATAATCAAATCCACATAGAGAAAAGTTTTATTTTGATAGTGCTGGTGTGGTATTCGGGAGCTGTTTATTTGGCGTCATTCCATGACTTCCATACGTGTTGTTGCCTGGGCCTGGAACCTCCCGTTTGATCCTGGGTATTGATAGGTACATATAAGTGCTGTTGTAAACAATTATCTTTTTTCTTAATTTAAAACTAATTGAAATTTAAACGGTCTGAGCCTTTGGTGATAAAAATTAGGAAAGATTCCAGAATTTCCTTCTTTGGGTTATCAGTCTGTCCAGAAACCAGTCTGATCATGCTGGTTCAAATAGGGAAAACTGTTACAGTAAGGCCATTCTCTTTTCATGCGGGAATCAAGCAAGTTTAGACAGCGTCTCTGTAGAGTGTTAATTAGACAATTTTCCACAGGAGCCTGTAATGAGATAATGTTTTCAATTTATAATCTCCTTATGAATCAAGCCAGGTTGAATATTACAGTTACTTGTAATAATCTCACAGTAGTCTGTAAAACTGAGCTAATCAATGATCACCAAAAAATGATATCTTGGCTCAGTTTTCTGTTTGACTCTTGAAACATGTTTTGTGTTCTTTTGGCAGGAACAGCCAGTCTATACTGAATTGAACAGAGAAAATGAAGAAGAGAAAGGTAACCAGATTTTGATATATTTAATTTTCTAGAACCTAGTGAAGCTGATTTTGTGATTAAAATTAGATGAGCACTGAGGCTTGCTCAGTGCTTCGTAAAGTGCTTTGAGATCAGTTATAAAGAACACTGGAATATGGAAATACAGAGTATTCTTTCTTTCAGTGTTTAAAGTAATTTATTTTGAAAGCTGAACCAAAAGACAGATTAGTAAATGTTTTCAAATTTATGATCTTTTCCATTTGCAGATTTTTAAAATTGTAACATCCTTCAATGAAGTTATATTTAAAGATAGAAATAGAGTAATGTCTTTTTATTTTTTAGTTACATTTAATTTAAACAAAGGACCAAGTACTTCAATAGCAGCATCTTCTAAAACAAGGTGAGAAAAGATTTTAAGGGCAACTTTTACTGTTGCAGAGCACTGAAATGGCAATGGTATTGTATGGGCAGGAGGATGTATCTTGTCCTGAAATATTCGGAGTCTAATATCTCATCCTGCCACGTTGTTCAGGAGGGGATACAAGGTGACTTCATGGTTTCTTTTGTATTTAAAATGAATGAATGAGTCTATCTTAAATGTGTGCTTTGGGGAGCCTTCTTGAATTTATGATGGTTTGTGGCAGACACCCATGAAGCAATAGGCAGTTCTGTGTTCCTCTAAGAAGATACTGTTTTGTGAAAGGGTGGATGAGGGATCCAATGAGAGCATTTGAAGTGAATACCATCTAGTCCCAGCTGCCTTCTATGAATGGGTGTTCGTAACTTCTTAATTTTGGTTCCTAAAAGGTTTGATTACATTGTCTAATTGGAGGTGATACTTTCTCTGATCATCGTTTAAGAAGCTGAATCTGCCTGATGGAAATCTTTCTAAAGCTCATGAATTTAATTGTCATCATATAACCACACGCAATGCAGGACAAAAAGGATCAATAATGCAAACAATGCCGACTTACAGCAGTCTGTGAAACTGTTTGATGAGCAGTACATCTTTTTATGTGAGGCAATATTGTAATTAAATGTATTGCAGGTAAAATGAAAGGTTTCCTCTCATCACAAGCTCAGCTCTTAGATAAGGTATCTGATGGGAGATATGCCAGGCAGAAAACGAGACAATAAAGTAGTTCATTGCAATAATAAGTACAGATTTCAGGCTTTGAGGAAAACTTGTAAATTATCCCTAAGCATTGAGTTGTGCTTAAGATGAGTCTGAAACTTAATGCAGATGCTCACTTGAATAGTTTCAGTGAGGAATACTTAAGGTGCTTGCTAAAATGTGGCTGAATGTGAAGTCATATATCAAGTAGCATAATTTTTTCATAGCATCTGAGAGATACTGGTCTGTAAGCTTTGTAATGGTAGTGTAGATGCAAAATTAGGATACCCAGTTCATGGTAAAGTGACCAGACCGTGGTTTACGTGGCACTAGCGATAAAGGAATCACCTCAGAGTTGTATATGAAAACTGCTTCCCCATGTCAGCGTTAAGGTGTGTTCTCCAGCTGTGAGATACTTTGGCTGTTAGTGGGGATCGGTTGAGTTCAGCCTGATGTCCTGTGCCCCAGCACAGCGTGCAGCAGGACTTCCTGGCTTCCCACCTTCTGTGCTCACAGCACAAACTACAGAAACCTGGAACTTGGATTTCTTAGCAGGGTGCAGAAATAGGACCAGGAGATCATAGGTAGTGGATGGTAGAGTTTTGGAGGCATCTGGATACCGATGGCTGGGTGGAGAGATGGGAGTTGGAGCCTTGCTGAGAAGGGGAGTGAGAGGGGAGCTGTGTATTCCCTTGACAGCTGTGTGGCTGGCGTGGAGATACGAGTCACTGCTGCCGTTGCACAGCTGCTGATGCTGACTGCCCTTGAGCAAACTGGGAGCCCTGGGCTTACTTTTTTCCCTCAAGAACTTGTATCCTCAAATCCCTGCTTAACTCACTCAGTGGACAAGTAAGATTAGAATTACTTCTGATTAAGGAATGAGCCGAAGCTACTAGCAAGGCCACTAGCAAGGCCACTGACTCCTTTCTGCAGTGCTGCAAATGTACCAGTGTACAGTCCTGCCTGCACACTCGTCAGCCTCCATTTTACACAGTTAGGCTCTCCCCAGCCCTATAATCCCAAGAGAAGATAATTCAAAACCTTTTTTTGTGTGATGGTTAGGACCTTGTCTGTAATTTCCCAGGTAAATGTGGTCATGGCTGGTTTATACCAGTTGCTCTCATGTGGGTATGAGTGTTTAACATAAGTAGTTCTTTTTCTCCCTGGTGTTTGCTTTCTCAGACAGCGTAGAGAGCAATTTTAGCCTGCATGGTGCTGGCCTCATCTCTCCGTACCCGCGATCTGCTGAATAGTGCTTCGTTGTCCTTGTTCCAGTTTCAGCTAACCTTGAACAGGGGAGCTGATCCAATTTGTGCATGCTGCAAATGAAACATTGCCATGGCTTCTAAAAGACACTAATGTTTGTCTGTCTTGACACTTCCTAGAATAGCATTTGACTCTTTCATGACTGGTAGCTGTGATCTGTGATTATAGCCAGACCCCTTTCTGCTTTTGTTGTTCTTAAGCAGCTCTCAGTAGATACAAGGTAATGAGAGTAAACTTTCCCAAAGTATATGAGCTTGCATAATGTGAATTTTGTGGGGTTTAAAACATGCTTTTCAAGATTAGCCAGTCCCTTCTGGTGTCCAGTTCTTTGTTGTGTCCTCCATATTGGTGACACAACTCCCCAGTGTTGGTGGTCTCTCACTCTTTGTCCCAGGGTCCTTAATGAATATGTTAAATAAGATTTGTTTTAATATTGACACCCAGAAAACCCGTAGTAACCTCACAGCTAGATGTGTTTTCCTTCTTGAATATAGTCACAACAGTTACGTTTTAATTGTATGTTGCCCTTTATGAGATGTTATTTTAAGTACTTGCTGTTTGATTTGTGATTTAATGTGCAGTCTGTCCTAGAACTCTGGTATGGAGATGATCCAGACTTCCTCTGAAATACAATTTTTCTCTCGATTTTGCTTCTACTGCCATTTCTGTATGTCCATTCCCATTATGTATCTTCCCTTTGCTGGTATGTCCACCATCCTCACCTCTGGCAAAACGTGCAGTTTGTCATAAGGCTGTGTTAATATTACCTTACTCTCCAGCTCACAGCAGCCTTCTTCATCTTTCTGGGTGAGAGAACACCCGCATTTTTTTTTTTACCGCATTCAAATGTCTCTTATAAAAATGGTTTAACTCGATCTGCCTTTAGGCTGTTCTCACTTTACGTAGATCTTCCCTGATCCCTGAGATGTAATTTTGTGCTGATTGCTCTTTTCTTTCGTAACTTGGAAGCTGTTTTCCTGTTTTGAGTGTGATTGTGAAGTCGGTGTTTATTTGCTGGATGTGGAGCCCTTTTCTGCAGATTCCCATGTATTTTCTTCCTGCTTTTGTCTTCTCCATTGAACTCAAGTCCCTGATCAACTCTGCTTTTTGCACTGGTGAACTGCTCATCAAGTTGTTTTCATTCAGCTGGACTGCTAGCAGCAAACGTCAGTGGACGTGGAGTTTACAACTCAAGGAGATTGGTTCTAGCTGCCAAATGCAGTCCTAGAGAAGGAGGCATGCAGGGTCTGGAAGGTGACTTGCACAACTGAAATTAAATAGATCAGGAAACCTTTTTGCACAAACAGCTCTTCAAATGCATCTTGGTAGAGGAGACAGTGTAAGGTCTGCTCTGAAAACACCATCTTACTCTTCCAGCAGTGTCCTTGGAACGAATGCACTGAAGATGGTGGAAGGGGCAGTTAAAAGAAAAGAATCAGCCCATAGCTCTGGTCAGTCCAAAGAGAAAAAGAAGAAATCTGCACTGGATGAGATTATGGAGGTAATAGTCATGCAGGATCTGTGTCTTTATAACCCCATGCCTGTGGCTATGTCCACTTTACCAGGGTGTCCCTTTGAAGTCACCTCAGACCTTGAGTTCATGTGGAATTCAGACTTTTATCAGGCAAAATGGTTTCACTTCCCCATTAAAACTGGTTTCTGCTGCTCATCTGTGCCTATTCCCCAGACAACTGAGATGTTGGAAGTAAAGGAATATGGATTTTGGAAGAGAAGAACATATCTAGAAGCACTTGACAAAAACAAATATAAATCTCCATCATTTTATCATGGGTTCCTGGATCTCATCAGATTGATTTTTATGCAGCAAGCACACACTGACTTACCTTTATTTAGTTTTGCGGGTTTTTTTATTCCCCACTTGAGGCTGGGCCTAGCTTTTCAGAGGCATGGGAAAGCTGCAGTGAAAGGAGAAAGTAAGTGGTGATTATTTGTTGTTCTGTAGCTTGAAGAAGAGAAGAAAAGAACAGCTCGAAGAGACTACTGGTTGCAGCCTGTAAGTGTCTTAAAAATTATTATTATACTAAACAGAAACAATTCTGTGTCTCTAAAGCTGCTGTTGATTTGTGTAAAGATCCAAAAGCAGATTCTGGACTAAATTCACTCATTTTCCAAGCTGCCAAATGTGAAATATTACAGTATCTGCAAGGAGTTACTCTTCTGGTTGAGCATGATCTGCGGTCTGAAGCATTGTATGCCTGATCTCAGATGGGGTGGTATTCTCTAAACAAAGAGTTGGTACTGTGGGTCTCTGCAGGTCGTGTTTAAGTCATGATGTTGCTTAGAGCCCTCTTCTTTCTGCACTAGCAGTTGGTACACACAGAGATGTAGAAGTCAACATCAGCCTTTGAGCTGAGAGACCTCATCTCAGCTCCTGCTTATTGATTGAACTTGTAGATCAAGAAGTCCTGCCTTTGACCCATTGTGGGCTATCACATTATATCCTGAATTCAAGTATGACTGTACTTGTAAAACAAAAAAAACCTCTTGAGAGATACTACTTTGAGGCAGTATGAAGAAAAAGACAAGTTCCTAAATGCTAAGTCTTTGCTGTTGTTGCTTCTTGCACTGTGCTGTACAGTCTGTGGTTGGAGTCAGAGTGACCTGAATGGTCAAGGAGTTTAGACTGTGCAGTTGTTTGTATATTTTGTCATTTCTTTTTATTTTTTTTTTCTCTTTTCATATCTTCCAGGAAATTGTTGTAAAAATTGTAACAAAAAAGCTTGGAGAGAAGTATCACAAGAAGAAGGCAGTTGTTAAGGTAAAGTGTGCAAATGGAAGCACGTGGCATTGGCTTTTCTGGTATCAGATAACTTCTGAGGTTTTGTTTCATTGTGCAAGTTGTTCAGCCTTAAAGGCAACACTGACAGGGGCTGAAATGTCGCCTTAACTTTAGTGGGACTTATTCTGGGCAAGGAGTGAATCTCTGAATTGGTTTAATGGAATTTACTCAGTGGTTCTTTCTTAAGCACTGTTCTGTCCTGTGTGGTTTGTCCCTATTAACGCATCCATCTTGGAGAATAGTCACTTTGTCAGTGTGATATGACCATGAGCAATGCAGTTGTGTTTTAATCTCAGACCGGTCAGTTTTGCACTGATATTTAAGCTGCAGCCTGCCTTTGAACAAGGAGGTGTTCAAGAAATGTGTAGATGCGGTGCTTAGGTACATGGTTTAGTGGGTTAGGTGGTGTTGGGTTGGACTTGATGATCCTTGAGGTCTTTTCCAACCTTAATAATTCTATGATAAGATCCCATTTGTATACAAACTCTTCAGGGTTCAAGCTTTTCTCTGTTGTTCTTAAGTGCTTTCTTTTAGCCACTGACGGTGAAATTATGTTGTGCTGGGTAGTCCAGGGCTCAGCAGTCTCTGGCAGGAGTGCCAAAGACAACACCCAGGTGCGTTTTGGATGATCGATAAGGGTGTGTAGAGCAAAAAATCACTGCTCTTTTGATAGACATCTCAGAGGGTTTATGAGTCCCAGTGGCTGTTTTTCTTTGAGCTCTGAATACGAGAGGTGGAACATGGTTTATGTTGGGCACAAAGGTAACATTTCATCTCATTGAGAGGCAGCATCCCAGTTGTCACTGTGTGGCTTCCAGCCACCTTAGCCTCCCATGGGGGAAAGAAGCCTCTAATTTGCTCTCCGTCCCTGAGACTGTAGCTAAGCCTCCCATGGGGGAAAGAAGCCTCTAATTTACTCTCCGTCTCTGAGACTGTAGCTAACATAGATGAACCGAAGGCTGACAAAACCTTCAGACAAGTCTGACAAAATTAGTGTTAAATTAGACCAGTCACTGAGGTTCAAGAGGAGCCCTTTTAATCTGGCCTTAACTTCAGAGTGGGGCCAGTCAGCGGTTTGCAAAAGCTGGATGCCTTTAGGACAGCTCAGAAGCCCTTGCTGCTTTTGAGAATGTAGAAGTGGACACTCATGGTCCTGAGTTTGTTAATTCTGAAATGTGAATTTAGATAATTTTTTGTTATTTTTCTGATTGGCCTCTGCTTTTCACAACAGGAGGTGATTGACAAGTATACAGCCGTTGTGAAAGTGATTGATTCTGGAGACAAACTGAAGCTTGATCAGACACATCTGGAAACTGTAATCCCCGCACCAGGTATAGCTATTTTGTTTGTTTTTCAGTTTATCAGTCACTGTGAAACTTATATTTCAGTCCTTTTTAAACTGCTTTGAGTCTTCACAGTCCCTTGTAAGAATTAGATCATTTTCTGAGAAGACAGAAGTGCTTTAGGAATCAGTTCATTTGATGAGTCAAAAGCATCTCCCTTCAGCTGCCAGGAGGCATCTCTGCAAGTCCTGCAGAGCCCTTGGTCATATTTATCCTGTATCTTCCTTCCAAAGTCATGCCTCAAATAGCTGTGGGCACTTGGCAAAGCTTACCTCACCTCCTGTTTGGTTCACTGGTGGTTTTTTGGCTGGTACACACCAATATTTGTGTGTAGCATCTGATCAGTATTTCGGGGAACGGTCAGGGTGGTAGTAAGCAGAAACCTTCTCTCCTTCAGCTATCGGTGGAGTTGAACACACATCCATCAAAAAAATTTGGGGGCCCTGTTGTGTAACTGTTTTCTGATTTCTTATTTCAGGCAAGAAAGTGATGGTATTAAATGGTGGCTACAGGGGAAATGAAGGCATCTTGGAATCTATTAATGAAAAGAGGTTTTCAGCAACAATAATCATCGACTCTGTAAGTATCAAACACTGCAAGATCTAGTTTTCATAGAGTGCTCTTCATCTTCATCATCATCATCGAGCTTTCACAAAGAAAGATGGTATCATTAATCCTGCTTACAGGTGGGATTTATGGTGTGCAAAATTCTGTGGTCGCCCCCATCTACTCCTAACCAGCAAGAAAACAGCCACACATTCCCCATCGCAGACTAATGTTTGCCTTTAAAAAGATGCCAGGATGCTGAATTTGTCAAGTTTTGAACTGGAAAGAGACTTGCAAAATCTTTCATATGTTTATTTTGAACATGGCTGCTGTTGTACTATTTTGTAGGAAAGTATAAAAATGTGAAATATGAAAGGAGCTGAATTTTCTCCTGCCTTTTCCATAGGGTTTAATGTGCTTATTTGTTGTCTTGTTCATGGTTGACAATTATGGTTGTTTTTTTGCTTTTGGGCTTGGTGGGTTTTTTTAAATTTCACCTTTCTCTGGGCTAAAACTAGGCCATGTCATCTTGTCCATTTATGTGGCTACTTCTTTTTTGTTCTCTGCAAAACTAAACTCATTGATACAGCAGAGCAGATATTGGCTCAAAGACAAATTTCTTAAACACAGCTCGCAGGAGAGAGACTCTATTAAGATTCCATTGAAAGAAGGGCTGCAGAAGCTCAGCCCAGATTGCATTCTGGAGAGTTTGCTTGAGAAGAGACGGTGCAGATGTCCCAACCACAGAAGGAGCTTTGGTTGGAGCTAAAGATCATTATAATGTTGGTCTTGGAAAGTGAGGGTAGTTTTTCTCTAGTTCTGATGCTTGTGGATGTTAAGATTTCCCTCTCCTGCATGAACTGAGTCAACTGAAAATGGGTGAAGCTACTCCTGGAAACCAGTGAAGTCTGAGAATTTTCTCATTGATTGTAGGGTGACCAATACTTTTATACACAAGAAGATTGTATTCAAAATTAAATCTTTTTACTACTTAGAAATTCACAGTGAATTAATTCAGAACAGCTGCTTTGTATGCCTCAAAATTGCAAAGACTTTAACTAAGACAAAAAGTGTCCTGAAAGTGAAAAGATTTCTGGGACAGTGTTGAGGGTCTGTCAACATTCTCTGGTCAGGTTGAAAATAGTGAAACAGAAAACATTGTGTCGTGAGCAAATCCCAAACCTGCAGTTTTTTTGGATGCATTCTGCATCTGTCTCCTGTACAGCCTCCAGTGTGCAGTTATATGTGGCTTTTGGACTGAGGAAAAACGCTAATGCCTGTGATTTCCAGTGCTATTCACTTTGGTTGTGCTTCTTGAAAAATGTCTAAAAGTGTTGAGATTTTGTACAGTCCCTTTAGCTATCTTACCATAAACTCCCTGTTGGGAATGTAACAAACAAGTTTATATTTTGATCTTATTTCTTCCACTATGTTTTTCTCCAGGGACCTTTAAAAGGACGGCGAGTTGAAGATATCCAGTATGAAGACATTTCCAAACTTGCCTGAGGTGCTAATTGTGGATCAGAGAAGATTTTGGTTCCCAAATACATCTTTCTGTCATCTTGCAGGCAGACACAAGACTCTACCATGTCAGGGTTTTAATTGTGTGCGTGTATGTATTTATAATGTATATAGAAATTAACCACAAGCAAACTGGATTTATTTAAAGATCACTATGGATTTGTTCCATAAAGTGTTTGTGGAAATCTTATCAGTGGAAATATTTCATCTGATTCTGTATCAAAGCTATGTTATAATGTTTGGTTCCATTTCCTTTTGTAAAATATAGCAGATACCTGCAAGCTGGAGTATTTTATTTACTGAAGTATGTTAGCAGTTCCATATGAGAGGGAATTACTTACAAATAGCTGCTTGAGGCAGGCAGTGGAGTTTAAACAACACACTTCTCACTCTGCAGCCAAAATGGAGTTCTGGCTGCAGGAACAAGGGAACAGATTAAGAGAGAGCAGCAGGAAGGTAACAGCGCAGCAAGGGATTATTTTCCTGGATTTTGTAAGAATGCTCTTGTTTACGTGCTGTCACCAACTTATTTTTGGTTGGCACATCAATGATAGTAGAATCCAAGTCATCACTCTTCTATCATCTTGTTGTCAGGGTTCCTAATAATGCTAATATGCAATTTATCTTCGTGTGGACTCCAAGATGGATGTTACTTTTGGAATTGCCAGGATGCAGCCAAAGTGTGCGCAGATACGAATTGGTGATTGCTTTTTAGGTTTTCCAGAGCCTTTTCCTCTGTTCATGCTTCCATTGTTTCCCTGCTCTGCTACATGAGTAATGTTACGCATGCTAAATGATGTAACATTACTTTTTAAAAAATTTTTTTTAAATGTCACATTTTGTACAGTATTTAATTTCTAAGGCAGTTCAGGAATAAACATAAACCTTTTTTAGGTCACTGTATTTCTTATCAGCCTTTTAAACACGTGGTGGTTTATATCCACTGTAAAGTGGTGAGCTCCCTTATTTATGTTAAAAAAAAGATGCAAGTCATCCCAGGCAAAATACAAACTATCACCTCATGGTCCAGTCTGCCTCTGATGAGGTTGTGTGTATCTGGAACCTGATGGAAGGAAAACCGATAGCCTCCATGCCCTCCAGAGGAGATCTCAGCTGAGGGTTGAAGAAGGCAGGATGCTGTCGTGATGTGCACATCAGGTACATGGCGGTCGAAAAGTTCAAGGTCACTAGAGGCAAAAGTCACTGTTCCTTGTCCCTTTCCTTGCCTCAAAGGTTCACTGTCTTGTTGATTTGTGGTTTCCAGGGGACCCCTGCAGGAAAACTGAAAGACTGCAGAGGTTTAGTGAAACAGCTGCTGTCTGGATTAACCTGAAATAACCTCACACAGAACATCGAATGGCTTTCCAGGGATCCCAGACTTAAATGCGAGGGAGATTCAAGCAGTAATGCAGTATCTGAAAAATGGAGAATTACGAGGAGGGGAGCTGGAGATGGAAGACACACTTGTCTGTAAATTCAGGCTCTTTGTGCAACCTGGATTGTGTAAAGAGCTCTGCCTTGTCTCAAAGAACAGGTACTGAGTGAGAAGAGGTATGTAGGAGAATAATGAGGATAACTGGAAGAACAGAACAGCTTCTGTATCCCTGAAAATAATTACACTGAATATTCTGGAGCCTGAAAATTTAAAGTGAGTATAATAGAGATGTTATATTATTAATTGTGTGGAAATGAACAGAGAATGATTATTCACTGCTTGTTTTTCTATACAAGCTAGGAAATGGGCAGTGGAATTACTGATTTGGGGATTTAAAAACACACTTGGCAGGTTTTTCCTTTGCCCACAGGGCCTAGTTAAACTGGGGAACTCACTGCTGCGGGGTGTTATGGATGCCAAAGCTAATAAATGAGTTCAAAGAAGCAGTGAATGGTTAGTAGGGAAGTTGCTTACACTTCTGAGAGTTACTTTGAAGAGACACTTAAAACACATTGAGCCTCTTGGTCCTGACACTGTGGCTGCAAGACAGATATGTGCCAGCCTTTCGTTCATAAGTGAAGGAAACTAAAGTTCAGAATGGCAAGAAGATGACTTGAGTCCCCTTCCTAGATGAGGGCTGCTGAGAAGAAACTGGCCAACATTTTTTTCCTATGGTTGCCTGAAAGCAGAGTTTTAAATCCGGTTCTGGGTATGTACATATGTATATTTGTTTCACCACTTATTCATTGCTGAATACTCTTGAAGAGTAAGGCTTATTTTGGGAGCTGATCCCACTGTAAGGCAAGTTTTTAGTCCTAATGGTGATTTCTATATAGTCTGAATTTTTCTTGCTTTCCCAGATTTATATCTGGGTGTGAACTCCACTGTGATGTTGCAATTTTCACAAAATATAGGCTCGAGGATATCTAATCATCTAATTAATTTTCCTGCAATATGGTAGCATCAGCTATCTTAAAGACATTCCTCACCACTGGTTAACCCATCCCTAAAGACAGGAGACTCCTCATGATACCTATTCCAGAGATCACATTCTTTTTCTCTTAGATTTCTCTTGGACTTCCCTTATGTCTAATGCACATCTTTCTGGCTAGGCTTTAAAACTATTGCTTTTTGCTCTGAAAAAGCAAAAGTTTAAGTGTTAAATCTGGTCATCTGTGTTACCCACACTACAAGTCTACTCTGGAACGTAAATTACAAAATAGTTGAAATTTTTAGTGCAGTTTGCTATCCATTAAATCAGACAGAGCAAGTGCAAGATACCTACTACAACCCAGCCTGTCACTTTATTACAGATTTAATTTTTTAACAGAAAAAGGAGTTACATTGCTTTGAAACACTGATCATTTATAAAGCAAGTGATGGTGAAGTCACCTTTGGTCGATCTGGCTTGACAGGTTGACAACTACTCTTCAGAAGAGTTGTTTGGGCATGAAGGAGCAGAGAAAATTTTTTAGTAATAAACTGGCTTCGTGTTGGAGCATTCAGGGTTTCTTCAGAAAGCTGTACAGGTTGGGGACGAGGTAATCTTTGTAGTGCCCGTCTATGAAACCTTTCCCGCTGTTGTGCACAAACCAGCACTGCACATCAGTCCCCAGCACACGGTCCGTCCTGTAGTCCTTCTGCAAGCCCCTGCGAGGAAGAGGCCACCCAAAATGAAGGTCATGGCATGACAAGTAGACAAGAAGACATTGATAATCCCTCTCATTCATGGTGCTGCTCTGCCAAAGTGGTGAGATGTGTGACTTCCACCAGCAGAGAGTGGAAACAACCACAAAATATAATGAGTTTTACAGTTCTATGATTTTGTGGGAAATTTTGGGGGGGTCCCAGGCACTTTTACAGGGTCTGTCCAAGGTCAAATGCTGGGCAGCTGTATGGTCAGAACCGATCATACACAAATACGAAAGAACCCAACTTGGCCCAAGTGTTTTGCCAACAGCTAAACCCAGTTTATTAGCAGAGGGCAAACACAGGGATTTTTCCCCACCCTGAGATCCTCAAGAGTTAATAAGCTTACAGTCATTGATGTCATTAAAAAGAAAGATTTGGAAAGAGCAATAAACGTTATTCTTACTTGGTAACAGTGAGTTTGTTGCCTTTCACTTCCATGGTGGCTTGTGGTTTCTCTGGAGCTTGCCCAGGTCTTTGGTGGTGGATATACACTTCTGGTTCAGATGCAAACTGACCTGATCGAAGAGAGGTTTAAAGCTCTTTGTGTGTCCTAATCCTTGAGGCTCTCATCTAAGCTGCAGCCAGGCACTTCTGAAAAACCTAGATACAGCAGGCAAACCCCCTCTGCATGGATCACAGGGCACCGTGTCTCCAGCACTATTGGATCACCCACCCTGAGAGGATAAAAAGCTCTGCTTTTGAGCCAGCAAACTTCTTCTAGATAAGCAGACTGGAGGTGCAAAGAATGTTTGGGAAAACAAGCTCTGCTGCTCAGTGTTCCCCCATTTTAAAAGGAGCCTTGGGTAGGTCCAGGACTTGGAGAACTGATTTTCCCTATGAACAGAGCCCTCGTTTTGGTTTTATACCATTGCCAGAAAAGGGCCTTAATTCAGGGGAGAGCTGAGTGACCAATATTTGCACAGAAGTCTTCTCAGAAAGAAGGTTTGAGGGGTTTGAGATCTTTGAGAAGGTTTGAAACCTTTGAGAAGGTTTCAGTCTTTTTATTTTCAACCCACAGATTGGCCAGGCTGGGAAAGCCCCATCACAGTGTCACCAAGGCTAGTCAGGACACTTTTGAAAACACCCTCCCCAGCCTGGATGAGGAATAATCTTGTGGTCCCTGATGTTCTACAATGTCCTTGGAGCTTCTGGGACGTTACAGGAATCTCCCCCATTTTCTATTTGAGCAATTTTCACACCTTCCTCATCAGGACACTGACACCACCTAATTCGCTCAAAGATCTACCAAAAGCCCTTCCTCGTGTCTAGCTCTTCCCACCACCTGACCCACAGCCCTTACCGATCAGCCCGTGGGCTGCAGGAGAGAACTGGTTTTCAGGGGGAATGTAGATTCCCAGGAAGTCGACATTAACTGGATGATTCTTCCACACACGATGTAGCAAAACCATGAAGGACATCTCCTCACCCACGGTGATAGTAACGTTGTTCTCTTTCTTCACAGAGATGAGAAGCCTAGCAGAGATGAACCCAAGGAAAGACTCAGTTCAGCTGCCCACACATGGTTTCTCAGGCCCCTTGAGATGCTCTTGGGCATCCAGAGCAATGGCATGGGGCTGGCAGATGTGACAGAGGATCCATCAGAAACCCACAGCCTTGGGAGTGGTACCCAGAGGTCTGGCAGGACTGTGCCTAATAGACACTTCACACCCTTGTTCAGGAAACCAAATCTTGCCCTACAAATTTAAGCTCTCACTACAATGAATGGAGATTTTGGAAGTGACCCCGTTGCCTAAACAGGTGTCTAGTGCTGCAGGGTGTCCAACATGGTTGCTGGCTGTTAATCTGCAGGTGAAGCTCTCCTGGATGTTGTGAGTCATGTCTCCCATCATGTCGGGAACCCTAAGGTATCTCAAATAACATTGTGTTTAGGCAACTGAATCCTGGTCTCAGCCAATGCAGTCGGCAGTAGGGAGAGGAATTCAGGTCCTTCTACTCATGTCCGGTCAACTGAATCGCTCTCTTGGCCCTGCTGCCTAATTTAATTAACGTTAACGAGAACTCAGACATCTATCTAAGATCCATATGGGGTTGTTTAGCCCAGAGAAGAGAAGGCTCCGGGGAGACCTTCAAGCACCTTCCAGTGCTGAAAGGGGCCTACAGGAGAGATGGGGAGGGACTCTTTATCAGGAAGTGTCACGACAGGACAAGGGGTAACAGTTTTAAGCTCAATGCCGGTAGATTTAGATGAGATATTAGGAAGAAATTTTTTCCTGTGAGGGTGGTGAGGCAGTGGCCCAGGTTGCCCAGAGCAGCTGTGGATGCCCCATCCCTGGAGGGGTTCAA